AAAACACTGCAGGGCTGAAATGAAAGAGTGTTTAATTTCCTAGAACGACGACACAGCTGTAGCATTTAGGCAGAAAAGAAACAGGGAGAAAGAAGAGACGGGAGAGGAAAAAAGATCTATTTCAAACATTCAATTTCTGCATCACCCATCAATTCTACACAAGTGTCAACATAACCACATCACATGCTTTATTCTAACTACACCAACATTTTAATTACACTAACATTACGACAGATTAGCAGTAATACCCTTCATTTTCATTTCGTATACAGCAATTTTTTGTCAAAATTATTTTATATACAACACAGGTTGTTTTTTTTAACCAGCACATTAGATTTTAAGAACACACACTCCATTTCAACTACGAGTTGTGGCCTTTTTAAGATAAACTGTACTTGTAAATGCAAGTTGTGCGTGCACAAAAACCACAGAACGTGGACCAGTTCTTTCTGGCACTCAAGCATTTAAATGCCAAAATCATTTATAATAGGTTGTACTCCTCATGCAGGTAGTAAGGATTTCTTATGTGAAAAAAAAAAAAGAAAGAAAGAAAAAAAAAACACAACAGGAGAAAGATGTCACACGTTGTCAAATGTGATGACTAGACAGTGACATGCCCTGCACACCCCGATGGGAAATTCTTGTGGTTTTTGGTATACATATGAAGCCCCACTTTGGATGTTGCCTTGTGTCTCTGTGCTCTTATGAAACTGTTACATTATCAACCCCACTGAGGATCACAGAACGAATTAAGCGAGGGGATGTAGTTTCTTCACACGCAGGATGTGAGTGGTACAAATGTAAGCTGCAAGCTGGATGAATGTTATCGGTACCAAACCTGTGAGGGCAGAGCTCACACTCCACAGAGTGAAAGAGCTATAATGCCTGTAACATCAGAAGCAAAGACAGCATAAACTGAATGTCCAAATGTGTTCTTTAAAGCTCCCATTTCCATATGCTTTTCATTTTGCAAATCTGAACTGTCTAGGATGGTAATTCTCCTATGATGTGCCTCTGCCCAATGCTCTTTGGGGGAACGGGGTGAAGCCCATTATTTCGAGGGACCAGCACTCCCCTGCTGCTCATCAAACGGGGACAAAGATGTTAGCAAAGCATTTCTCTCCCTCAGCTAACAGGTCAGTTCAGGAGATACCACACATTACTGCCGATCAGTTTGTTGGGACGGTGGCGGACAGCTGTGGATTTGAAGAGGACAACGCCTGCAATAAACTGATTGCACAGATCTCAGGGGGCAGGAGCACCAAAAATGAGTCTTTCCTACCCTGCTGTTAAGGATGTAATAAAGCCGTGACACAAAACCTCATGAAAAAGGCTGTCAACAACTACTGCAGAACTGCAAACTCTGTTCTTCAAACCCTAATTCTCAAGTCTCTGAGATTCCTCGCTCCTCCCTTCCACTACAGCCACACAGGAGGATGCGACAGCATTTGGTTCCTTGCAGTAATTCAGTGTCAGCTTCTCAGCAGAGCCTCTGCCTCCTTCAGTGCACAGGGTGTGGGCTGTGCCATGCACCACGGAAGGACCGCAGCGTGTCAGGTCCTCGCTGAAACTGGCTGATGGGGAGCAAGCTGAAGGCAGGTTTGGACAGGGGAGAAAGGACCACCTCCCAGGCTGCCAGGAGCCCCTTCAGGCAAAGCTTGCGTCAAGCCGCAGCTACAAAGGCTGGGTGCACTGCGTGTAGTGGCCACATCAACCACAGGGCTACCCATCCCACTCCCTGAAAACAGGGCTGGGACGGGGATACCTGCCCACCCCATCTGGGGATTCCTTCACCTTGTATAAGCACCAGTCAGCCAAGCTATGGCAGACGCAGCGTTCGCTTCTTAGACTCATTGGAAAGAGTATCTGTATAAATGAGATAAGTGTTGTTTAAGAGAATACAGTGATTTTGAACTTTGAGAATTGGGAAGGGGAAGATGATTGTTTGTGATCTGTGAAGTGCAAGATACAGATTTAGGGCGTGTCTTGCGAGTGACTTCCCAGAGCACTGCAGTGGGGTTTTATAGCAGATGACTTTTTCAGCACGAAGCCTAAAAGCCAAGGTGAGGTTTCTGTTCAGCATAGCACACACAAAGTACTTCCAATGTATGTGTAAGAGCCGATCATATTACCGACGGATTAGAGAGCTGAGCAGAGTCAAAATCTGTATATTATGGTATCACAAAGAGCATTATGAATTCTCAAGCCAAGTGTTCCTTAAAGGCTCAGGCAGACCACGCTGAAAGAAGCTGCTAGCACTTGCTTCTCACAGTCAAGTCCTCCAGTTCTTCAACCACACAACGATCACCATCTGTGGAAAACAATTTACTGCAAATATCAAGAAATGGGTAGGGAACACTGTAATTTGTCAAGTCTGCAAAGACTCGGAGGCAGGTCCTAACTGCAGAATTTGGGCTGGCCAAAATCTGGGAGAACGGCCTGAACAGTGCTACCGACAACATTGCTGAAATCTACAACTTGATGCTCAACAGAAACTGAAATAAAGGAATAAACAAACACAGTGACTACAAGCATTTACGAGATGCCACAAAGACAAATGTATTCTGTATGAAATGGAGTGCATCGTCCTTAAAATTAAAGCATTCCCATTGTTCTTTCCACAGAACGCACAAGACCTGCACTATCCCCAAGTCATCTACTCAACTGTGTCAGCAGCAGTGAGAAGAGATTTTACCAATGCAGATACCTTTCATCTCGAGTCAGCCTAACACGCCGAATGGGAAAAACGTGCAAAATTCAGATACATACCTGATCTACTAATCCTGTCAATCCTATCCATGCTGGGAGAAGAGATCCGGATTCGAGGGCTGCTCTGATTAGAGGATTCAGACCCCCCATCAGCGAAAGAGTCCTCAAGTGTGAAGAGTATTTCCTTCACGCATTTGTGACAGACGTTGTGCTGACACGGCAGGATCAGCGGGTGGGTGAACAGCTCCTTGCACGCTGGGCAGATGAGCTCTCTTTCAATACTCTTTGTGGCAACCTTCATGGCAGAAAGGGGGAACAACAGGAGCGAGTGCTGGAGGCGTGAGGGCTCGCTGCGTGTCGCGCCCGTGCATGCCCCCAAACCCCAGCCCTGCCGAGCGATGGTTGCAGGTGCTGCGAGGTGCTGCGAGGTGCTGCCCTGCTTATCGCCGCCAGCAGAGCTTTATTGAACACGGATGAAGGCAGTGGCAGCGCTCCTTCCAGGCCACACGCACAGGCGGCTGCCCTGCGCGGTTCAGCTCTGGGTCACGTCTGCATTGCAGGGGGAGGCAAGCCGAGGCGGGGAGCAGCCCGGGTGGCCACCTAGGGACCTGCTGAGCTGCAAGCCACCGTGTCGCCCCTCAGCAGCAGCCCCACTCGCCCGGCCGACAGCCCGAGCCCTGCACGCCTGCCCCCCGATGCCCGCAGCTCCCCCCACCCCCGGGTGGCACCACGGGGGCCACCTGCTCTCGCTCGTCCCACCAAAAGTCAAAATAAATACACAAATAAATACATAAGTAAATAAACAAATAAACGCGTCAAAGCCCCAGCCGCACAGCACGGGACGGGACGGGACGGAGGGGATGGGGGGGGCACGGTGGCGACACGGCGACACCGCCGCCCCCCGCACCCGCACTCACCTCCGGCTCCGGCTCCGGCTCCAGCCCGTCGCCCTCCATTGCCGGCGCCTCCCTGTGCGGCTGTCGGGGCGCCGGGGAGGGCGGAGGCCGAGGAGAAGCGAAGGGAAGCGAAGGAGGGAGGGAGGGAAGGAGGGCGGCGGAGGGACGGAGGCCGCCCGCCCACTGCCGCCGAGCGGGGCGCGGCGCCGCACAATGGTGGGCGGGAGGCGGCGGCACCTGGAGCCGCGGGGGGCGGCCACGCCCGGCGGCAGCGGCCCGGCAGGGGGCAGGCGCGGCTCGGCTGGGCTCGGCCCCCTCCGCACGACCCCTGCCGTGTGGACACACGGCCGCGGCACCCCGACATTTGCCCGTTCACCTCGGGGTACAGCGCCCAGGGCCCCCCCCACCTCGGCGGCAGAGCCCCCCGGGAGCACAGCGCCCTGTCCCGTCCCGTCCCGTCCCGTCCCGTCCCGTCCCCACAGCCTGCCTCTCGCCTCAGCCGCACCCCGAGCGCGCCCCTTGCACCCACAGCTGGGCAAACAGGGCTCTGCGGTCCCCTCAGCCGCCTTGCCGAGGCTGTTTCTGAGGCTCCAAGCTGAGGCGTGTGGTGTCCTTGCCCTGCACAAGCGGAGGTTCAGTCCATGCAAACAGGGGGACTGCAGCAATCTCCAGACGCTGCCCACTCAGCAAGCCCTAACCCTGACCCACGCGTTACTGCATAGCCTGCCTGAGAGGCCAGGCGCAAGGAGAAGAAGTTCGCTTCTGCTCTCAGAGTCGCACTTTGTGTCAGTCAGGAAAACGGGCTTGAAATCAGGCTCGCTTGGGTTCTGGTCGTTCATGGCGGCTTCAGCAGCCTGGCCGTGAGGTCTGAACGGAAAATTTCACTCTGGAGTTACGGAGCCAGAGGTGATCTTTTCACGTAGCCAGCACTACAAAGAACGTTATTTAGAGAACACACTTAAAAAATTTGATTTCACATTTAGTTTAGAACCAAATTCATCCAAGTAGATGGGTGCTCTCGCTATGATGGGCGCTGTGTGTATCCAGGCCGAAACGCGCCACCTAACCAGCGAGGGGGCAGAGCAGGCTGGCAGGGATGTGCTGGGCTGTCCGCCTCCCCACCGGGTTTTGTGCAGCCATCTGTGAGCTTGTGAGTAAAAATGTCATCCCCGAATCTCCGCTATTATCCCCAAATGTTACAGGCAGGCTTTAAAGGATGTTGCTTTTAAGAAGCCCTTTACTGCATTAGCGCATTGCTCATTGCCGACACTGGACGTGGTCAACTTGGGTCCAAATGAGCAAACTCTCCTCCGCAGACCAGAATGAAGCCAGTTTGGCTCTGCTGCTGCCTTCAGGAGTGTCAGGGACTTTGCCTTGGGCCAGGAAAACCGCCCTGCTCCACATGCCAGTGGTGTGGTGCCAGCAAAGGCTGACATTAGGGCAGGCAGACCTGGGGCACGCGTTGGCTCCAGTCTCCCCGCAGCCCCGCAGGGGCATCCCCGTGCCAGCTGCTTTTACGGTCAGGACATGTGGGTGACTCTTCAATCCCCTGACAGATCGTTAAGGCATTAACTTGCTTGTGTCTGTTTGCTCTGGCTTCAGGGTACTTTAGAGCAGGATTTTAATTACCACCTCCTCCTACTCCACCACCATGTTAAGACATGTGCCAAAAGCTGCATTAGCACTGAGTTGCTGAGAGAAAAGGAGAACAGTTAGGGATCACTGGTAAGTTAAAGAAGTAAGAGCAGAAGCCACGGCCAGAAGGGACTCCTGCTCTTGGCCTCTGCGGAAGGGAATGGTCAGACCAGCGTGGCCACAGGTGTCGGCCCTGCTCGTCTGCTTTGCTTCCAGAGACACGCATGCATCAGCTGGACACCTCTTGTGCTAGCAAGGGCTTTCTTTTACACCAAGGAATCCCTGTAAAGAATGAAGGTGGCTCAGCCCATCCTGCAGAGCTCACTCCCACCCTCAGCCGGGGGGCCTGGCTGGGAGCTGCAGCTGAAACTGGAGGGGAGCAGGGGCTGTCACCCCTGTTCTGCCACCTCCCCGAGGTTGAATTCACTCGTTCATTTAACCAGGACTACCCAGCACTCTCCCATGCACTCATCTGCATTAATTATCAGTGCAATTCAAAGATGAGCAAAGTTTTCAGTTAGCTGGAAAAATCCTGCATTTCTCTGACAGTATTTGGTCTGTGATCAGGGTCCTGCACTTTTTTTAAGCAGTACAGACCTGACCCAGAGAGCTCAGGACATCCTGGCAATGCCTTCACTGCCTTCAGCAGCCATGCTCAAAGTCACTACCAAATTTTCCAAGACAATTTTGTTTGCACTACTTTCGCATCCTGCACTCGTCTCCTGAACCGAACCACTGTCTGGCTGGCAGGAGAGTCACACCACAGCACAGCCAATGTGTACACAGCAGAAACAAACAGGATGCCGTGTGAGACTTGTTCCTGAGCACACACGATAGTACAGGCACAGTCCTGGGGACTGAGCTACCGGACAGACACCTTCCTTTCCATGCAATGGAAAGTATTTTCTGCCAGGGTGGAAGCTGTGGGGTTTTAGACCATATTTACACCTCTCTGTAAATTGTCACTGGTGAAATCTGCTTCTCTACTCAGCCTCGAGAAGTTCAGCCTTGAAGATCGCTGTTTTCCCCAGGACTTACTCAGTCCTGCAGGCTGAAAGACGCATGGTTAGCTCAGCAATAAGGCTGGACTTTATGCTTCCTGAGACAAATGTGTCCATTTTGGCTTAGGAATACAGGCTCATCGTTGTCTTCCTGACAGCTACCATTCAGCTGCGTCATCCCAAACAGCCAGCAAGAGCCCACAGAGCTCGGGTGTTTGAAAGTAAAATTAAGGATCTCTTGAGGATTTCTGGGCATAAATTTAAAACTATCAAGCCCTAATCCTTTGGTTCTGGTTGTTTATCTACCATGCAGAGAAGTGCTACAGGCCCACAGCCTTCATGGTCGGACGGGTTTCCTAACGAATCCCATAACCTGATCAGCTGGACCGAACAAGTTTGGAAGGTCACATTAGCTGCTGCTGCTGCACAGAGTGCTCAGCCAATAAAGACTGTGCTCATCAAACTGCCAGCATTTTAGGACTGTGCTCAGGTTTGGAAAGGATTTGTGTTGGATCAGTATATCTTGGCTTTTCCACCTTGTGCAGTGTGTACAGTATTCTGTTTCACGTCCAGGACGCGTGGCGAGCAACAGCATCAGGGGATCCAAGGAGCAGCCACAGGCAACAGTCTGCACAGAGGACACTGCTGTTTCCCTCCCTTCCTTGTAATTACTTGCTGAGAAAATGAAAGAATTACAACTGAAAGGCTTCCTAAAAGAATACAGAATTCAGACTGAAATACCTTCTAGCTCTGTCTTACAGGATTCTGGAAGAGAAGCATACCTGTGAATAAATACTACTGTTTAGCAGAAATGAAATATAGGACTTATTTTTAAAAGGATTTAGAACCTTATGTATAAGAAGTCCAAATTACGGGAAGCTCTCCCATGGGCTTGGTTTCTGATGCTATGTAAGATACGGTGTGAAAAGCATGAAAAATACAGACGTTTGTAGAGGGTGGGCTGCTGTTCTGCCCTGCTGCCTTCCTTCCTTCACTTCTGGTGGCTGCTTTCCCCACCACCATCGCACAGGGGCAGCCCACCCTCGCCCCCCCACATCCCCTGCTCTTGTCAGCTCCTCAGAGAACCACTGCCGAAACAGTGAGGGCAGGCCTGCAAACACACCTTCCACACACAGGCTAACTAGCCCAGATAAGTAATTCAGATTAAAAGCTGCAAAGACAGGCAAATTGGATTTTAGTTCCTCTTAGCCACCGGATTTCAAACTCAGGCTCCTCTACAATACCTGGCTTAAGCTGTTACCTGAAACTGAACTCCCCGTTACCTTTACAGCTCTTTTAAGCCAAGTCTTTCAACCCAAGTCACCTTCCTGCATAAGCACTCCTCTCAACACAGACATAATCAAACACTCATCTTGATGCTCTGTGAGCAGGAGTAAAATTCATCTTAAAGCAAAGCGTCTTCATGGGGACTGAAAATGTAGACAAGTCCTTTTCTGCTCATTAAGAAATATGAAAAGCTTTTCTTCTGAAGGATGAGGGGTTCAACAGGTTCACGTGAGTCAGGCAGCTCAGAGCAAACCTCCAAGTCCCAGCAGCAATCTCTGCTTATTTCCTTTTTGCAGCTCCTCATGTGATTCAATTTTGTACCGCTGCCCAGCTCTATCCTTTACCCCCACCTGGGGAAAGAAGAAATGCCATCACAAGAGAGCTGTGTATCAGTCACTATATAAAACCAGGCAGAAGACAGGGACAGAAACTGGTGTCACCTGCAGGGTCCTGGTGGAGAACATGCAGAATTTCAAACGCTTTTAAAACTATTCTCAGAAAGTTCTCATGTTCATATCATTTGGGATCAGGGGCTTGTATCTAGTACTGTCCATTTCTCTAAATGGCTCCTTCTGGAGAAATGTTATTTATTCCATTCCTCATAAATGACAAGTTCTTGGTTTCTGCAAACCATACTGAGAGCAGGAATACATCTTAGAGCAGAGCAAAAGAATGAGATACGAACAGAGAAGAGTAGGGATTTGATTAAAAACCAGAGTATACCGAGATCCTTATTTCAACAAAATCAATAGCTGTTGCACAAGGACGGTGCCAGTATTGCTGTCCTCTCTCTGAAATTCACACTATTTTATATTGGTTTACTGATTTTTATTCCACTTGCAGAAAAATGCCTGAAATGGCTCTAAAGAAGGGACGAGTATTATTATCAATCAGACCATCAGACACAAATATTTATTCACAGCATCTAAAAATACTTTGAAGTTAAAGCTACAAGAGACACAGATGAATTCCAATGAAGGAAACATAGGTCTGTGCAAGTAAAACACTTCTGAGTAGACTGAGGGTAAATAACTGCAGGGGTGTTCATGTGGCTGACTGCTGCAAAAGGAAACTTACACACGGTGAGAAGTAAAGAGAAGGAAAGAAGCCTGAAACCATTTCTATAATATTATGGCACTTTTATGACAGTCCTTTCCTGTGATTTGAACTGGGATTTCAGAGTCCTGAAAGTCATACAATCTCCTAATGCCTCAGTGCCTCTGCTATAAAATGCACTTGATTGTTAATCTATCTCACAGGGATATTTGGGAGTGCTCAGATGCTACTGTGACGTTTGTGACAGGTGCCTTGGGGGCCTAGGATATCTCACAGAGCATTGTACTGAGCCTAAGCAGATGTCGTGGGTGTATGGATTACACGAGGACTGCCTTCTTGGGGCTAGAAGTGTTACACGCGTCCCTGTGTCCCAGGTACAACGTGCAACTTGTGAAACAGAGTCACAGGGGAATAATCAGTACAAATCATTAGGAAAGATAACGAGTTGGCGAAGTGATGTCCCCCTGGGGGACAGCAATATGCAATCATTTGCCCTGGTGTGAGGGCTGACAAGCTAAGTGGAAAAACATTGTGACTGCCAAAAAAGATAACGTGCCCAGGGTGCAGGCACTGGTGTGCAGGGAGGGAATTAATACCTGTTGGGATGTCACACCGCAGGGACAGGAGCGTGCGGGAATAAGGAATTGGTGATATATCCTCTTTCCCTAACAGGAGCTCTTTGTTTGGAGAAAACCAGATGCTTAGCAGTTAATGCAGAGTACGCTAGCGCTCCCCGGCTTTGTTGCAACAGCTTTATTGATGTGAGAGGTTTGGAAAGGCAAAACTGGGGTAATGGGATCTGTAAGCAATAATACCCTGCTCCTAAGCACGTACGGTTTACCACACAGAAGCATCCTTTCGCTAGCATGATTTATGTCACCCGAGAAAGAAGCTTCATTATCGCAGCAGAATATCTCTCGGCTCCTGGATAACATCAATAAATTACAAAGGGGCTGTAATCTAAACCCCGGGCTGGAGGTAAAGACATGCAAGCGGAAAACACGGAAAGCAGGAGGCCTCCGAGGTGGCCCCTGGAGAGCCGGGGGCAGAGTGACCGCCACTACGGAAAGTCTGTAAAGGTCACAGGACAGCTACTGCTCCGCTTTCCTTCACACACGTCAAGCATCCCTGGGGCTGGGACTTGGCAATGCGATGCTCTGCGTACAAGGAACAGCACTGTTTGCAGTAAACATGCACATTTCACTCCGACGTGCGAACTCGGCTGTCTATCGAGGCATATGCTCTCGTGGAGGGAAGTCTGATCCAAGCTACCAGCACAGGCAGCACAGGCTGTCACCCTCTCGCAGGGAAATCAGGGGCAAAAAGGGGTTTCTTGACTGAAACCCTTCATGATTTTGTGTATCATGTAAAATGGATGGGACGGGAACAAGACCCGGCCATCCAAATTGACCCAGGCGCCCTGGGCATGGCTCCTGCTGGGCCATAAGCAGATCACTGGGGCAGGCCCTCTCTCAGCCAGGCCCAAGGGGCCTGCACTGGGAAGAGGGGAGGGGGACGGGGAGTCTGTGGTGGGCACGAACAGCAGCGTGCAAAGGCACCTCTGGAGCTGACACAGGACGCGTGCAGAACACGCAGACTCTTCCAAATAACCCCTTTGTTTGTCACTCTTGGGTTTAAGGCTAAAAATGCAGCGCTTGCTTCGTGTTTTCTAAACCTGTCAGAGCGGAGTCTCTGAGGGGAGGGGAGAAGAAGCTCCTTCTGCTTTGTATATGCACCAGCAGCTCACAAACACGAGAAGCTGGATTTATGACCCCCTTCTTGTGAGCAATGCACTGGCTACTTTCCCTCAAAATATTTTCAAGCCCTGAATCATTTCCTGCGGGTGCCACTTCCCGCTCCGGCGCTGCCCGCAGCCAGCCCAACCGTGGGTGACAGGAAAAGCACCCAGCACCCTGCCAGCCCGCGTGCGGCCCCGTTGGAGCCCCACGTCCACAGGTCAGCGCAGGGACGGGCCGCACGAGTGCCAGGCGCCGAGCTGGTGGGCCCAGCAGTGCCCCGCACAGCGGGGGTTTTGTTGGGCCTCCAACCGGCGGCCGCAGGAGTGTGCTGCGAGGGCGAAGCGGGCGTACAAAATGCATCGCGCTCAGAGGCACACCAATAAACAAGCAAAATAAATAAATAAACAAATAAATAAATAAATAATCGAACAATGATGATGGTTATAATAATATAGGATGATATAGTCAATAATAACGCATTATTATTTATAATGCACGTATATTATTTATAATAATGAAATAGCACAAAACATAAAGAAATCGTATACATAAAATAAATAAAAATAAAAAATAAAATTATATAAAATGAAATGAAATGATACAAAATATAATGAAATGATATAAATAAAATAAAAATAAAATAATGAAATGAGATGAGATGAGATAGAATAAATAAAACTAAAAATAATAATTTTAATGAGATGAGATAAAAAATAAAATAAAAATAAATAAAATAACGTAGGATAAGGTGAGATAAAGGCGTAGGGGACGTGGGAAACGCCGGGAGGAGGAGGAGGAGGAGGCGGAGGCGGCACCGCCCGCCCCATCCCAGCCCGGCGGCGCCCCGGGGGCGCGCCCCTCGCCCCGTCCCCGGCCGCAGGGGGGTCCCGGCGCGGCCCCCCGCGCCCCCCTCTCCTGCATGCCTTACCTTTCCTCGCTCCAGCAGCTCCGCGATGTAGCCGAAGCGGCCGCCCTCGGGCGCCCCCGCCATGCCGCAGCCGCCGGGGGCGTTGCGGGAGCGGCGGCGGCCGGGCGGCAGCGCCCCGGCCGGCGGGGGGGAGCGGGGGGCACGGCGGGGGGCGGGCGGCTGGGGGCGGCGGGGGGAGGTGGGCGAGGGGCTGTGCACGGGGCTGCTGCTGCTGGCATGCGGTGCAGTGCGGTGCCCGGCCGGCTGCATGGCTGCGGGGGGCGTCAGGCAGGGTGGGACCGGGTCTGCATGGGCTGCCTGCCGTGCTGCCGCCCGGGCGGGGGGGATGCGGCGTGCCCGGAGGCTGCCGAGGCGCAGGGAGGGGTGCCGGCACCCTGCTGCTTGGGGAGGAGATCCTCGGGGTCTGATGAGGCGTTCAGAGGGGCGGCCGGCAGGGGGGACTCTGCAAAACGCCGTCCGGAAGAGCTGGGCAAGGGCACCCCGTGGGGTGGCCGGCGATGGGTGCTTGAGGCATGGCAGGTGTCGCAGCCCTGCTCCGTGAGGGCCTCCGCTCTGCACAGCTGGAATCACCTGCTAGTGATGGTGGAAGCAGGACGGGGCACTTCAGATGACTTCTTACTCCCCTGGTCCCTCGCCAGCTCTCCCCCGGACCAAGGGGTGGAAGGGGACAAGCCGCGCTTACCCTTCGGATATCGGGTGGCCCATGGGGCACATCACCCCGGCGTGGTGAACGCATAGCGAAGGGTGTTTTATAACGGGATAACATATCCCTTCGGAGGCTGTGTTTCCTAAGCTTGTTGATGCAGTAGTAATGCTACACCGTATTCTCTCGGCAGGTTACTCACAGAAACAATATACCTTTCTTTCTCAGGAAATGGGACTCATGAATAGCCACCGGACTTTTCTGTTACTAGATACGGTAGAATTACATACATCAGATGACTCATTAATCAAATAGCCTGTTATTGGGGTATAGGGAGGCTTTCAGCATTCCCCGTATTGCTTTTGTGCAAGCAGCAGAGAGTTTATCGGAATAAACGATGGGCAGTGGCACGGTGGAGAGTCAGTTGTCATCGCCCACGCAGCTGAGAAGCCTGTGATATATAATTTAACTCCAACTGAGATGTTTTGCTCCTCTGATCTAATTCCAGCTCACCAAGTGGCAGCCATGTGGGGAAGCTTTGATGCTGTGGTTTCGGAGGGTATGAGCACGGCCAGGGGCTGGGTATGAGGGCTGTGCAGCTCCTCACCTGGCTGCACCCAGGCTCCCTGCCAGCCGCGGCACCCCGGCATCAGGGAGGGTTGCACCGTGGCATCGGCATCAACCTCTGAACGATAACTGGAGCCCAGCAGCAAACATACCTTTGACCGTGCTGGTCAGCAATGACAAGCCATGCAAAAAGCTGAGGAATTTACAGCCCTTCCTGCTCTATATAGGAAACGATGGCTCCTCACTGCTGCCTTCAGCTGGAGGTGTGTCTGCACCCGCACCTCATGGCAGGGCTGTCACATTCGTGATAATCGACACCGAGCGTCCTGCGAGGCCGTGCTCTGACGTGGCATGCGTCTGTCCAGCGTCCTTTGGCCATGAATCACACCGGTATTTTGACCTAGCTGCTGCTTACAAAAGAGATGTAAATGTAGCCCAAGTCACGAAGGGCACAGAGGATACAGGAGAAGAAGGACGAAGCTGGTGGTTCTTTCATGCCATCTATTTGGAGCGGTTTTGTTTCAGCACTAGCTCTGTTAGCATCCCGGGCTCAGGTGGCTGTCAGTGACAGGCAAGCAGGACAAGGTCACTGCCTGCTTTTGCATTGATCTTGCATCTTTGGCAGTGGCATCCTCCCAGGTGGCTCTTTGTGGAAAGATCCATGTACAACAGCCCTGTGTGCCATCAGCCCTGCAGAAGGGGGTATTCCCACAGACTGCTGCGAGGCTTGGGGGCCTCATGGATGGGTCGGTATCACTCACATGAGCTATCCCCACAGATCTAGACTGGCCAGGGGTTTGGGACTGCTCCCTGCAGCAGATATCGATTCTCCTGGCCACCCCGAGGGGTCCCATCTACCTCCCCCAGGACAGAGGAAAGTTTGCACCAGCCTTTATCTCAAGCGGCTGCAGGCTGACAGAGGAATGTGTGCTTGGAAGGCCGGGGACAGGTGGAGAAGCCTCATGTTGTTGCAGCTGGTGGCCCAGGGGCTTTAGCCCCACTTGGTATCTGGTTGCTGTGTTTCACGCAACCTTTGCAAGGTAGGCTGTACGGCAGAAATAGTGGGGAATGCCTCACCTGCTCCACATAAATCGCTGGTATGAATTTGCTTTCTCTGCTATTCCTCCCTCAGTTTTCTGTCTCAGGTTGGTTCCTTTCTATGGAACATCGACACCCAAAAATGCATCCAAAACTTTGGTGATCAGGAAATTATCAACGTCAGAACACTTCATGTTTCTTGAAATGAATCAGTAGAATGATTTAATTTCCTTCATATCACTTAAACTGGAAGTGTCTCCAAAAAAGCAAGGATCCTTGGCCCAATTATGCACTGATTGTTTTATACCAGTGGAAAATCTGGTCCTGCATTCTTATCCTGAAATGTTACACGGCACAATGCTTTGCCTTGACACACTAATGCAGAAAATAAATTGTAAAGGAAATTTATGTTTCCTGACCTGTGAATTACATTGATTCTCCCAGGACAGCAGTGACAGCTCTAGATTTTCTGGTTGATGTCCTCCATCTAAGTTTCTAATTCCTAACTAAATCTGCACACTATATTCTTTTTGCTCACCCAGGATTGTAAAGTGTTTTCCCATTTACACAGTACAGATGATACACTCAAACATACACCTGTGGTAGCAATCTAGCATCACCCTCAGGAGGGGCCTTGCCCTGCTGCATGCCACATGTGAAGTTGTTGGCCATCGTGACCTGAGGAAATCTACTCAAAGGTGGGTTTGAAACCAGCTGCAGGTGGCCATACAGAAGGGGCTAATACAAATCATAGAATCATAGAATCATAGAATCATAGAATATCCTGAGTTGGAAGGGACCCTTAAGGATCATCAAGTCCAACTCTTGACACCGCACAGGTCTACCCAAGTTCAGACCATGTGACTAAGTGCACAGTCCAATCTCTTCTTAAATTCAGTCAGGCTCGGTGCAGTGACCACTTCCCTGGGGAGCCTGTTCCAGTGTGCAACCACTCTCTCTGTGAAGAACCCTTTCCTGATGTCCAGCCTAAACTTCCCCTGCCTCAGCTTAACTCCATTCCCGCGGGTCCTGTCGCTGGTGTTAATGGAGAAAAGGTCTCCTGCCTCTCGACACCCCCTTACGAGGAAGTTGTAGACTGCGATGAGGTCTCCCCTCAGCCTCCTCTTCTCCAGGCTGAACAGGCCCAGTGCCCTCAGCCGTTCCTCGTACGTCTTCCCCTCCAGGCCTTTCACCATCTTCGTAGCCCTCCTCTGGACACTCTCCAACAGTTTCATGTCCTTTTTATACTGTGGTGCCCAGAACTGCACACAGTACTCGAGGTGAGGCCGCACCAGCGCAGAGTAGAGCGGGACAATCACCTCCCTCGACCTGCTAGCGATGCCGTGCTTGATGCACCCCAGGACACGGTTGGCCCTCCTGGCTGCCAGGGCACACTGCCGGCTCATATTCAACTTGTTGTCTACCACGACCCCCAGATCCCTCTCTTCTAGGCTGCTCTCCAGCGTCTCATCGCCCAGTCTGTACGTGCAGCCAGGGTTTCCCCGTCCCAGGTGCAGGACCCGGCACTTGCTCTTATTGAACTTCATGCGGTTGGCGATCGCCCAGCTCTCCAACCTATCCAGATCCCTCTGCAAGGCCTTTCCACCCTCATTCGAGTCCACAACTCCTCCAAGTTTGGTGTCATCAGCAAACTTGCTCAAAATGCCTTCTATTCCTACATCCAGATCGTTTATAAAAATATTGAAAAGTACCGGTCCTAAAATGGAGCCTTGAGGGACCCCACTGGTGACCGCCCGCCAGCCTGACGCAGCCCCATTCACCATAATATTTCAGTACTAAGGAGATACAAAGTGCTGTGCTTCTATTTTACAGTATTCATGGGGGAAATGGATCTGTGTAGGTGCATTGCCATCTCAGAGGACTCAGATGTCACCAGCAGTGTCAACATCAGCGATGGCAAGAAAGATGATGTAATAGGTAGTGGAAAAGTGTGCTGACATTCACTAGGACCTACATCAGTGTTAAAGTGTACATTTGGGCAAACATTTGAAATCATGAAAAAACAAAATATGCATATCCAGGGATGTCTGCCTGTGGTAAGGACTATGGCGTGCATTAATTCTCCTAACAATTTTTAGAGGCCTACGTCCGAATTGAGTAATAATGAAGAGATTTTCTGTAAATAGTTTATGAATTTTATGTAAACTGTTTCCTTCCATGGGGAGTAATGTTGACGGGAACTGTTGCGAAGAAGAAGAAAAATTGCCTTGAAACAGATGAGACCTGATGATTGGAAAGATTTTGCAAGCAGGACAAATGTGACCAAATTGTATTTCAAAGCTTGCAGTACCTGCATGCAGATCTAAAGCTCTCTCTGCAACAAAACCCATCCCTACTAGTTCTGTTTGGGACCACAGGGTTGTTTCCATTCCCACCTTCATTGCTCTGAGGATAAACCCCATGTAAGCCTTTTAGTAAGCAGTCAGGGAGCTGTCTGCTTCTGCATCCATTCTGTGTTCAGCTGAGGTTCCACCGAAGCCACCCCAAGAAGACAAACTCCTGCCCCACTCTCTGACACCAGTGTTAATGGCCCCTGCTCTGGGTCTGGAGCAAGTCTGTGATTCCTGGGAATCCCCAGATCCCTTTCCACACTGCAGCTGACTATTCACATCCATGCTTCATGTTGGGGAATGTGATTTTGCCTCCTTCACGTCTCCAGTCTAGACTTCCTTAGTGATCTGATTTTTATTCCCCACCAACACAGTCTGAAACAGAGTTTTACTGAGTTTTGCATACCTCATTCTGATAGATACTGGCAAACCCCAAAAGATCGCTAAACATGTAGCACTGAATATAGCACACAAACAGCAACAAGCCACACAGATACTGAGACAGTTCTGCAGCTGCTCTGAGGCTAAGTGTGATGTTGTCCATCATTGATGGCCAAAATAACCAGTCTCACCCTCAGCCTGTACCTCACATTTCCTTTACTTCTGGCTGCAAGTCCTCTGGCTAAGGCAAATTTAGTAAAATTAAAATGTGAATTTCAAATCCACAACGTTTTGGAGCCAGATGTTTTGTTCTGCTATGTTCAACAGAGAGCAGCTGCAGCTTGTGTTCAGACTTTTTGTCACCTTTAGGTATCTACAGGTATAATAAATCTGTATCAGATATATATCTCTCTACATCTATCTATACAGATACCTAGATATAGGTACAGGTAGGTATCTACTTCTAGGCTCTAAATGGCAATGCTCCATTTAGAGAGCTCCATTCAAATACCATGAATATCTCTATCCAATACTTTTCAGGTACAAACACACAAAATAAAGCACAGAGCTAAAAATGCATCCATGCCACATGAAAATTTATTTTTATGTATGATTTCATCTAGACTTTCCCATATGACTCTAACACAATATCACACACCCCTGGGAAAAAGCTTATTTAAGAAATATGGGTTAAGTACGTAGATTATTATTAATATTTAATGTATTGAGTATGTTATTATATATTTATAAGGAATCAGCTAAAGTACATAATGATACATACCATGAATATATAATGCAATTGCCATTTTTTGCTACAACTACAGTTAATCAAGTTTGACAATGTAACGAGAATTTTGTGTATATGTGGAGTTTTAACAAATATTGAGTAAAACAGCAGGCTTGAGCCTGCTAATTTACTGAGCCTATTGATTTACTTAAAAGAGTTTGTCTAATTAAATCAGAGACATGGAAATTGGGTGAAGATACAGGAAAGATGAGCCCTACCAATCTCTGCATACAAATGCAGCGATGCATATTTCAGTAATTTTGCATGTGATAGGGAGGGGACATGTCTGAAACAGTGCAGGCACTGAGGAGGGGGCAGAGCCCTGAAAGCTTTTCAGACTCAGCTGGCCTTCAGAGCATATCACATCTCTTTGCAGAGCTCGTCCAATTTTTGTGCCCATGGTTTGAAGGCAGCAGCTGTGCTCTGACACTTAACTATGCCAGGGTTGGGTTGGAGCTAACTTTCCTTTCACAGAGTAGCGTGCCCTGTGTTCATTCAATGACTCTGCCCTGTGCTTTTACCAATCTTTAATCCCTCCTGACAGTGGGTTCAGTTTCACGGTGGAGTGGCTTTGCACATCTGTGCAGGCCCTGAGGCCTGCTGGATACCTGCTGCCCGTCCCCACTTTGCACCAGGCCAGGGTTGCCGTGTCCCTTTCCTTGCCTGTCCCGCAGGCACCTGAGGTCCTCCCGGCCAGGCCCTGCCACCTGCTTACAGCACCAGCGTAGTTTGCTCATGTGTATACAGGGATGGGCAGTGCTGAGCTAAAGGCCTAAAATGCCACTGGCGGGAGGTTGTCTGAAGTCACAGCAAGGCAAAATGTTCCGGTTGTATTGACAGAAAGCCAAGGGTCAGCACTGAAGAGCAGTCACTCTCCTGCTCCCTGGTCCTGCTGTGAGGAGCACACAGGGGACGGGGGAGAGCAGCTCCAGCCCCAGCTGCGAGACAGATGCCAGGGCTGGGCAGGGACTGTGTGAGGCCAAGCCTCCCGCTTCTGGCTTGTTCCCCAAGTGCAAGTGCAAGCAGAGCACCATGACGAGCTGAGACCATGCAGTAAGATAGCTCGGCAGGTCCTCTGGAGGATGTTCTGCAGGGCAGAGCGAGGCACCACAAACCTGGTCACCACAGAAAGGTCCTGTCACACAGATCTGCAGAAGCACAGCCCCTCCTGGTGGGACTGTGGGCCCAACCATGGGCAGACAGCTGCTTAATGTGCCACCCTATAGCTCCTAAAGGTTCGTTCCTTTGACTTGATGTCTTAAGCAGTTCTCCGTGGCATGTTTAAAGAGGCCTCTGCACTGCAGCAGCCTGATCGAGGGGAGCGGGTTTCCTTCTGGTTCAGCTGTAAGGCACAACTTACACGTTGCCCCACTTGCTTTGCCTTGCTGTGAATAGAGGAAAGTCAAAAGCACATTGCTCTGCCAGGGGTGGCTCTTCCCAGAGTCCTCCCCAGACAGCGCCCAGCCCAGGATTTCAAAATGGTTAAAGACCAGAAAAACCTTTCTCCCACTAGTTAGAAATATTGCCTAACTAGTCTTTATGTAGAGCCGTGCCAGGCAAAATAAACTATGTTGGTGAAAAGGACGTCTTTGTCTGGTGTGATTCCCGCTCCCCCAGTTTAAATTAATCAAGAATAATCTGCTCCTGATTGAGGTCTTCCCTTACTAGTGCAGTGCACAGACTTCCACCAGTGGCTGACATCAGAGCATTTATTTCTGACAGGCAAAAAAATTAAAATAAATAATAAAATAAAATAAAATAAAATAAAATAAAATAAAATAAAATAAAATAAAATAAAATAAAATAAAATAAAATAAAATAAAATAAAATAAAATAAAATAAAATAAAATAAAATAAAATAAGACTTCCTTCACTGTGTTCCTGCTCGCTCCAAATCTAGCTGACATCAAAACTCACCTCGAGGCTCAGCTTGTCCAGAGGCAGAAGCAGGCCCATGGGTAGCTGCAGCAGGCTGGCCAGCCAGGAAGGGGACAGGAGGGGGGCTCCAGCCCAGACGGGCTACCAGATCAGCAGCTGCTGCAGAATTTAATATCCTTTTATAGCAGGGAGATCGTGGGAACGCTTGCTCCTCATAGCCCATGGAGTCCTTAGCTTAAAAAGCTGCCCTCCCTGGGGACTACATGCCACGTAATATCCCAAATATTACTGTGCGTCTGCTCGGGTTTCTGCCACAGCCAAAATCAGTGTGTTTTCCTTTGCTTTGTACGGGGACCTGTAAACACCCCCCCTGTTCTGGAGCTTGGGAACCATGACTTGGAGTCACACAAGGTGTGTGAAAGCCTGCAATAGTGAGGGCTAAAGCCCTAAGGCCTGATGAAGGACAAGGGGCACCCAGAACAGGGGGAGAAGCATGCTAAGAGCGCACACCACAGGGCATGGAGCAGGCTCTGGTGCTTGCTGGGGTCACCACCTACACAGCAGCCTTCCTACCAAGAGATGGTTTATGTCTGCTGTCACAGGCCCTACTACTACCAGCAGTGCCAGATTCTGCAAGAGGAAGTTGGTCAAGGCTGGGGCTATGTACAGTGAAAACAAAAGTCAGGGCACGGAGCCATCAGAAAGGTTTGGTAGCAGTAACAGTACTGGAAACAACCAGTAAGGTTGTTTCCACGGCCTGCGTATGAAGCTATCTATAGCAGCTGGGGAGCCACAGAGGGCATTTTTTATCAACGCTGCAGGATGTGTGCTGCCTGGCCATACACTTCAAGCCATATAGAGAGACATACACAAAAATAAAGAAAAGTCCAGTGATCGTGTTGGAAAACCTCATCCAGACACATCTCTGGCAGGATCTTGCCCTTGGCTGCACCATCAGAAGGATGCTGGGCAGGCAGCACTGCCCGGGGGCTGCTGATCTGTAACGTGTGAGCACAAAGGCTGGTGTGCAAATGTGCTCAGTTCTTCCAAAACTTCTGATTTTCTTTAGATTATCTTCATATTATTTACAGAAACATCCCCCACTCATCTATGTACCTTGCAGTTCAGTATTTTAAGTCTTACCAGCAAAAAATTAGTGTGTTGAAGCAGCACTGAATAACTTGTTTTGGTAAAAAAATAGGCCAGGAGGGTCCTTAAGAGTACACCAAACTGTCCTGAGGCAGGATAAGCTGTCCCTGTGTCATTCTTGGCTTAGTCTGACCTGATGTGAAAGGACAGCCTCACTGAAAACTCCACAGCTTCCCCAGGGCAATAGGTTTACAGAGATGCCTTTCAGGGCAATGCTCCTCCAAAATAAGTTTGAAGTTGAATAAGGTTTTTATGGAAATGTTATAATAAGCAGTGAAAAGGCTGGGCTCAAGATTAAAACGTAGTTTTGTAAAGTGAGCCTGTTTTTGTAAGGCATGGTCATGATTTAAAGAAAGTTGCTAAATGGGCAGCACAACACCAAACAAATATAGCTCTGTGCTTAGGAAAACCTTCAAATTACCCAGGGGCAGCATGCAATTTTAGCAGCGTTCCAGCATATTTGGCTTTCCAGGCAGCATAAGCACCACTCCTTTTCCACAAACACCGAGGTGATGAACAGTGAAAAGCTGTGTCTTGATTTCTCTTCTGTCATTTTCCTGCCAAGTCATCCCTTTTGCTGATTCCCCATAAACAAGGGGTAAGGCAGAGCCTGTGTAACATGTGCTGTATCAAAGGGGACGAGGGGAGAGATCCGGATGAAATTCAGCGACGGCTCTTGCAGAATTAGCTTCATGAAGGCCTCCAGGCTATCTCACAAGGGTATTTGAACTCTGTCATTGCTAGCTCACAAAGTGGTTGTTTAGCAGGACACAGGGCAGCCTCCTGGTCCTTGATAACAGGAGCCCAGTTGTCACCACAACTGTGTTAACACTACGAGTTAACACAGAAGCCACCTTTGCATGAATACACGGCTGCCAAAACACAAGCTTCTCTATATAGACACATCTCCCTCCTTTCCCTTGCGAGCTTAACATAAACAGCCTAATCTGGCAAGTCGAGCGCAATGTCCTCACCACAAACCTTTCCCCTCCCAGCCACATTTTGAAATTCTCAGATTGCTGCTGCAGATTGTTCTCATCTAGATTTTCTCTTCCTTGACGAACTTCTCGTTTTTGTTGAGACAGAGCTTCTTCCTTCCTTGGGATCCTGCGCATTCTCCAGCAATAGTAATTATTTTTATCCTGTCCCTAAGTACAGGGTCTGTACCTACAAAAGTACATTTTAAAGGGTGGTCACACACTTCAGTGGTCAAACAAGGTGTTTTGCCAGTGCTTCAGAAACTAAGGTAGTGTGGGATTTTTGCTGCCCTTGGTGCTGCAACTTGAAAGCCTCTGGACATTTTCACGTTCAGTGCCCAGAGAAGGTGCTGTGTGTGCAGTCGTCACTCAGAGCATGTGACTGGTTTGGAAAAACCCACCAACATGAGTTTTTCCTGTTTCACAAAGCAACAGGTCATTGATTTTTATTGAATTCAGAAACTAATTGGACAAATAGAGACAAGTAACACAAACTTTAGAACAGTGTGTTGAAAGTGTAATTCCATAGTGTACTGCTATCACTTGGTAGAGTGATTTAGTAGTCATTTAGTATAGAGATAGTGACACTTACTCTGTTTCACCCTGCAATTGCTGAAAGTGAGAAGAACTGCTTAAATGGTGACTACTTGCAATAGCAAACCAAGAACTTTTCAGGACTGCAGTATTTAACACTAACCAAAACAGACCAATATTCTCATTCAACAGATGAATTTCAGAGATGTTTCGTGTTTTAGATGCTCCAGTTGGATCTGCTTACCTGGGGGTTCTTTCTCTTTTTCATGTCCCAACAACGTATCTTCTACCTCATCAGTGGCACCAAAATCAGTTACCAATATCAGAGTTCTTCTTGAGCTGTCCACAATAGCTCTTACTTTGCAAATCCTTCACCCTCTACCACAAGGGAACCCCGAACAGAATGGCTAAGGACTCGCTACAAAGCTGAAATGTATTTTTCTGGGGACACTACTGTTTCAAGGGATATTTCGTTTTTGATACTGGCTTCCACTAAGAGCAGAGTATTTAACTTCTTCAGCTCCTTTTAGGTTGTCTTTTACTTTGCTATGGGGCACTGAACACAGAGCAAGGAAGCCTGTTATTACGTTTCACATACATACTTCAGATGTTCCTCCAATGTCCAATTTACTTGTTAGTCATTTTTTTTCATAGCATGTAATTGTTCCATTTAGAACCAAATTTCCTCTAGATGAAAAGCCCATAAATAAATATGTACATACTTAGCGACAGTTCTCCAAAGTGGTTCTATCATGTCTGCCAGCAGCTACGTACAAGAGATTAAAGTTGCTGTGAAAGCCTTAATGATGATGTTTAAAACCTCAGTCCTCAGATCCTATTGAAAGGATGCATTTAACTCCCCTCGTTCAACCAGCTACTTCAAAGCTATTCTTCTAGAACAGGAGTTGAAGACATTGTTTGTGAACAATCAGTGATAGGGGCATCCAGCTGACATATATTTGTCAGCTGAGCCAACATCACCGAGCTTTGAGTGCTGATGAGGTTTACGTAAGGCATTAATTTTATACAGTCTTGACAGGCAGGCAGAATAAAGGAGTGGGTCTGTTGTACCACACCACTGCTGGAACATCAAAAGGTTGTGGCAATGTAGCTGTTCCACATAATTAATGCAAGCCCTTATAGCCAAGACATTTTACACCCTCAAGGACATGTTAAAGTCACTGAAGTAATTAATTTCTTATTTAGGTTCAGCCTCAGCAATGTAAAGCTGTGGTTAATGCAAAATTGTTACAGGTGGGAAGTAATCTGACGGATAGCTTTTGTAGCTATGCTACATTTTACATTTCACATACAAGTTTACATGCATTTGAACTTCAGTTTTTAAAGGGATTTTAAGTCATTACCTATGAATTTTTCGTCTATCAACTTATCATTCATTATTTTCTAGTCAGAAGACATGGTAACTGCAAAAATGTGAAAGGCAATGCAGTCTAGTGTTAACCACACAAGTCTGTCAGGATCAAAACAGCCACTCCACAGGCACACTCAATGCCCACCACCTGCTTGTTTGATGTTGAATTGGATGTTAAGAATGGCAAATCATGTATGCAGAGTTGGTTATTAACACATATTTTTGTCAACTTAAAAAAGATTAAGGATTCCAAAGCAGTCAAAAATTCTGTTTATGCCAGAGAGGTGTAAGCAGTTTGCTGGCTTGAGAAACAGTGGGAGTTAGTGGGAAACAAATACGCCTTCTGCAGTTTTTAGAAAAGGGAAACTCTGCTGTCAACATTCAGTCTGAGAAAGATGCTGCTATTTAGCCAGGAAAAAAAAAAAAAGTTTTAGAAGAACTGGGGCCCAAGGGGAAATGTAAAACACATATTAACAAGCCATATAAGCATAGTAGCTGACAGATCAACAAACAACAACAAAAAAAAAACAACAAAAACAAACAAACAAAAAAAGAATTAGCTGCTTTTGCCCTATAAAACATGGTTAAATTACTTGCACTGAGAAATCAACTAGTTTTTCCACAGAATATGATTTTTCACTGTTGTGTCATGACTTCTGGTTCTCTACCCTGTTATTCTTTAGAATTGAGAACACAGTAACAGGCAGTGAAACTCAGGAGCCACAGCTCAAGATTTTGCAAGTATGGATTTGCTCCAGGATAATCAAATGCAGCGTTCCTCACGCAGCCAGAAAAGTATCAATACTGGGTCTGTCTGCCAGCAGAGACTTACTTAGAGCAGCTTATTTTGAGCATAATGCCATATATCAAAACACCACACACTCATTAATATCCCATGAAGATGGTATTTCAGATAAAAACACTTTGGCTAACAATCCACCGCATATGTATAGAAGGTACCCAGGAGAACCATGAAATTCATTTAGTGATGCCACACAACTTTGAAAGTCCAGTATATTGAATAAAATAATTTTATTTACTTGATTTTATTTTTTTAACAAAGTTTATGGAATCTGAAAGTAGACGATAAAAGGTAATTTTTAACTGAGATTTAATATGGGAATATTCTCTACCCAAAAATATGTCAGACATCAAGATCATAAAGAACTCCAAGGTTCTGTGCTATACTGTATGATATGTAAACAGATTTTGAAAATACTTTCCCATTATATATTTTGACACAGTATGCACAAATTTAAAAAAATAAAATAAAAATGAAGTTTAATTGCCTCAAGGGATTTCTTAGACATAAAGCCATTTGAAGAGCCATTTACAGTCTGTGGTTACAAGCATCTACATAATCAAAATATCCCCTTTTTCATAATGCAGAGTAACCTGCTGAAGATAATCCCCTATCAAAGTGATGCCAGCAACACAGATCTGATTGCATGACTCCAGCACTTAAAAGAGCACGTTGGTTATACATGGCTTTTAACCTTGGGCTACAATTATGCTACCAGAACTAAATTCAAGTGTAAATCAGTCATGTAGAGATGTCTGTGTTGTCTGAACACTGTTTAGAGTCCTTGTTTTCCAGATCTGGTGAAGATGGTGAAGGCGCTCTGAGGTTCTTGTGCTTACATTCAGGGCAGGATGAACTTTGCAGATGCCAGATTCTCCGATTAACGACAAGCCACAGATCCCAAAGTAGGCATGTAAAGCATCTGAAAGGAGGACAGAATATGAAAAATAGAATTGTGTGTCTTTCAGTTGTAGCAGTCAAGTATTCTGGGTTTCAGCCCCCCTGAATAATCACAGCCAAGGAAAACACACAGCTGTTACATTTTAAATTT